GCCCTTTTCTAGTGACCATTGCTACGAGCCTCTGGCTATTTCGTACTATCCCTGTGGCCTCCCCGCTCCGCCCCCATAATTCACCCATATATTTGCAAAATAGTAAACAAATTCTCTTTGATTATATAATTCGAGGGTGCCATCTGTTTCCTATTGAGATCCCTACTGAGTTAAATTACACTCGAAGTGGCCCTAGGGAAAAGACTTTATATTCTGGGCCGGGGTAGGGCCGGGACCACCTCCTTGCCAGAGGAAAATGGAACGTGGGTAATCCACGGCAAGTGGTGGCATGCCAGGCCCGCAGGTTCTCCCTGGTAGTAAACTGAGCTGAGAACAGGTAGGAGGTAGAGCTTTGAGATGTCAAGTGGCTGAGGAATTTCGTTTCTGTGGCAACAAAAGTGAATTTAGAAATTTTGGAATCTCCTGACTTCTTAGGACCTCAGAGAGCACACAGAGCACACAGAGGGAGAAGGAGAATTGAAAAACTATGGACAGGTCATTAAGAACACACACACAAAGACGGTCTACGACGACGACTTTTAAGGAATCTCCCATCTCTAGTGACTTCAAGGCAGAACTGGCTGAGAACCGAGGTTACCAGGCTTACATTTTTGTAGAGCCAAGTGTCCGACACCAAGGTAAGGGCACTGGTAGAGAAAGAGTGGGCCCTGGGACATATGATAGAAATAATTGGACAGGCATAATAAGGTAAGAAACTTAAAAGCCTCAATTTCCACTGGAGCTCCCTTGGCCCTTCTCGCATTCCACCCCGCCTGTAGGAGCCAGCCCTCTTCTCATGAAATCGTTAGATGGGTGCTCATGGGTTATCATCTCATCTCCAAATGCTGGTTCCTGCTGATTACATAGTCCTGTGGGTCTCCACTTGCACCTCTGTAAGTGCCAAACAATCCCCCGACAAACAAGCCCTCCTCCTGTGGCCCTAATGAGAATGTTCCGTTTTCTCTTGGAATCCCAACAGATGCGTCAGGTGGCATGTCCCGAATCCTGCTTCCCCCAGGCTTGTCATCCCCGTGCTGATACCTTCTGTGTACCCCATTTTCCAAGCCGATGGACTTGGGCCTCTTCTTGATGCCCGTGTTTCTCCGCTTACTCATCTTTTTGACTCTTTAAAGTAGAGCAGCATCTGACCCTAATATCACCTCCTCTGTGACTTTCATGGTTGACACGATCAACACTCCTCAACTGTTCAACCTCCTAATTGGTCTCTCTGCTCTCCGCTTGTCTTCTGTCCTGTAGTGTCCACATGGGAGCCAGAGTGACTTTAAAATAACTCTTAAATCGTGTTGCTTTTTGGTGGCTTCCCTTGACACTTAGGATGAAATCCAGAGTCTTTTTTAATATCGGCTACCAGGCACCACATGACCTGGTGTCAGTTATTTCTCTAATCTCACCTAGGGCTCTCCCCCTCCTGCATTCTCCTGCAGCCTCAGCGACCACCCTCCATAGCAGGCCATGGACTCTCCCCCCTGAGAGTCCTTGAACTTACATCTCTTCTTTGTGCCCTCTTTCCCCCAAGACAGCAGAGGCTCATTCTCACTTCATTCAGGTCTCTGCTTGAACAGCACCTTTCCAGAGAACCCTAAGTAACACTCCCCCGCTTCCCCATCCCTCCTCCTCACCCTCTCCCCTGCTTAAGGCTTGTTTTTCGTTCATTTGTTTCAGGGCACATGTCATTACATTATGTATATGTTAATTTATATGTTTACTGTCTGCTTCCTACCATGAGAGTATCACCTCTGTGAGTGTTATCGGATGCGGACAGTGGAACAATCCAAGGTGCCTCCAGGGGTGTGGCATCCAACGGAAGCCGAGGAGAATGCCCAGGGGAACGGATGCTCTGTTTGTGGTCCCAGTGGCATCAGGATCTATGAACCACTCACCCCAGGTTGCTGGGGCCTGCCAAAAGGGGCCCTTCTTGTCTTCTCCGAGGGGTCACACATAGGTCTGAGTCAGCATACACATCCCCCATGTCTTTGTGTTCTCATGGTCTTCCCATTCAATGTGAAGGTAGAAAGCAGACTGCCAGGAAAAAACCTTAGTATTGGCTCTTTTCTGTGGGAAAACCATTTACAGTCTTTCTGAGTGGCCTGGTATCTTGTCCGCTGGCTTGGGACATTCTCGTCTTGGCCTTGGGTTCCAGAGGACGCTGGCCTGCTCCAACTTGGTAAGGTCCTGAGCATCACCTGCCGTGTCAGAACTTACTAAGTAGAGCTGATAGATAGCCCTTGGTATTGTTTCTTTCTCTCAGGGGGTTCTGCTGACTTGTGTTTGAAGCCGGGGCTCTCATCATGTGCTGGCAGGGAGGCAGCACTCTCCAACTGAGCTTTCGGCCACAGGGCCTGGACCCATTCCTGGGTGAGCCTGAACATCTTGGACAGAACACACTGTGCTCCTTGGAAAGTAGCGGTATGGATTAGCGCCTGGCTTTCCAAAGAGAGCCATGTAAATCCAGAATGTGTCCTGGAAATAATTGCCTGTAAGGTTGACATTGTCGTGTCTGAGGATGGTGCTTCTTTAATTGCCGATCGGGTCCTGAGCCTTTATTTGGAATGGGGATGTTGGGAATCTGGTTGCCGGAGGGATGGAACTGGGGTAGGATTTTCTCTCCTGAAGCTTGTGTTGGAGCTCCAGGAATAAACCTGTGCACAGGCTCCTAATACACCTGTGAATGAGGCAGCACGAAGCCTGGTGTTCACGGGAGAGAAAGCCATGCTAAAATCATCACGCATGCCATTCCCGGTCCCCCAGTCCCTCTTGGTGATGGTGGTGTGATTGCCTGTGGGATTGTTTTCCCCTCCCTTTCAGTGAATAAAGCACAGCTGCGTATGCTCAGAATGAACAAAGTGGGCCCACTAAAAGGACCGAGACTTCTTGGAGGCACGAGTCTCCCTGCTCCTTTGACTGGAAATCATGTCTGGGAGAAAGGGCGCCAGCAAGCCGGGCCTAAGAAGCTGCGCCCAGTTACAGAAGGGCCCAGCTCTGCCGCAGCATGGATCTCAGAGCACAGCAAACTGCTCACCTGCCGCCCCTTGGGAGGCTCTGTCTTGAAGCATGGCTAGATCAGCATGGGCCTTGGACAGGCAGGGCTGGGGCTGAGGGCAGGACAATGGCTGAAGACCAGGCATGAAATGAACTCCTGGTCTCCTGGCCTGTGGGGACTGAGCTCAGTGCAGGAGAGAGACCCTCTCAAACTACCTTAAACCCAGGGATTTGTTGTGGGGCAGCCAGGGATTGCAGGGGAAATGGTGTTCGAAGTGAGCAAGGGTGCTGGGATGCTGATAGATGGTTCTCTCTCTCTCTTTCTCTCTCTCTCTCTCTCTCTCTCTCTCTCTCACACACACACACACACACACACACACACACACACACACACACGGTTTAAGGTCTGTTTCTCTGTCACTCCCTCTCTCCCTCTCCCCTTGTACACACAATCTCTCCCACAAGCAGTTGATGTCTGTCTCTCATTCGCCCTCTCTCACCCTTTCTCATTCACACTCTCCCTTGCGGCTTCTCCACTGTTACTCTCTCCTCCCAGGACCCTCTCCTTCCCTCCTCTGGAGCTTTGGCTTTCCCATCTGGGTTTTTCTCCGCACATCTGCTCCACTCATTCCCATCTAGTGGCCGCTCCGAGGATCTTGGTTTCTGCTCCTCCCAGCAGCAGTTTGGGCCTGGCTTTGGGTGCTTTCTTAGCCCTGCTAACACCCACTTTAAGTGCCGCACACCCCTCCCCCCACCCCCAACAGCCCCAGGTAGCAGTCTCAGTTCCAGAGGAATTGTCTTATCCCCTCGTGACACAGAGCTGTGCTAGGGAACAGTGGCCCGATGGTTGAACCTTGACCAGGCTGTGGGCCGGACAGGTTCCCTCAGAAAGGGGTGTGGCCAGGGCCCTATTAGTCAGTCTCTAGTGGCCAGGTCTGCTGTTCCAGATGGGTTCCTGATCCCAGAGAGGGCCTTTGCCAAAGGGGATCTGGGAATCAGATGGCCTGCCACTTTGAAGCTGTGTCTGTCGCTTCAACCAAGGGACTGAATGTGTTTGGGCCTTGGTTTCTGCCTCTGTAAACTAGTATCCATCTCACAGGATTGCTGTGGCATTAAAGAGGCAATGTTGTAAAAGTACATTTTGTAAACTGTCAATAGATTGTAGCGTTAAGAATGAAAAAAAGGTATTTTAGGATCTCAAAGAGCTCTAGCTTCAAGGGCCAGCTGGTCGGTTGTAATGAGAGAAGTTAATTAAACGGTGGGCAGACTGGAGCTCTCCTTGGCTGAGTTCCCCTTGCTCTTTGGAGATCACTTAGTTCCACCATCATCGCACACAGCAATCTCCTGCAGAGGGAGCCCGAACGTGGGCTCCGTCTACTGGATTCATACCCTGGCTCTTGCCCCAACTGGCATGGAACCTGTTGGCTCCCATCGAGTTGCCTCTAACTCGTGGTGATGCCGTGTGTCAGAATAGAACTGTGCTCCATGAGTTTGCACTCGCTTGTTTTTCGAAAGGTAGATTGCCAGACCTTTCTTCTGAGGCACCTCTGGGTAGACTTTCCCTCAGCAGCCAAGTGGGAACCAGCCCCGTGTGGTTAACTGCATGCATTCCCCAGGGCCACTGGGGCTCATACTTGCCCTCTGTAATCTTCATTTTCCTTATCTGTACAGTGGAGACAATTACAGCATCTTTCTCAGAGGAGTAACAGAGATACCCGGTCCCCCATGTAAACTGCTACCTGCAGTTCCTGACACTTCAGTCACCTTTCAGTGGGTTGGTCACTATTGCTATAATCTTAGAGATGCGAAAATAAACATGGAATCAGAAGTGACTCAGGTTGGTGAGGAGGCAGTGACAGAGGAGTGAAAGCCATGGTGTCCTGGGGTTTGGGGCCTCTGCTTTTAGTGACTATCCCAGTTGGGTGGGCCTGGCCCCGTCCCTAGCCCACCAGAAGAGCTGTAGATTACAGAGAGAAGCTAACCACTGGACAAGCATTGGGTGAGTGTCCACAGCAGGGCTTTGTCGTTTTATTGTCTGTAAACTCTTATTTGGTAAACAAGAAGACAAGAAACCAAAAGAGAAGAGGAGCACACCGAACAACGAAGGCAAGGCCAGGGCTGGCGCCCTCCACAAACAGGAACTCTGAGAAGACGCTATGTCATGAGCAAGGGGGTGGATGGGTCTGGGGAGTTCGAGGTGGGGGTGGCATGGGGGAAGGGCTGTGGAGCGGGAAGAAGGAGTCCACGCTGTTGGACAGAGAAGCCTATATCATACAGCAAATGAGCTCATGCATCACAGCCAAGGTTAGGGAACCACCACCTGTGCCCCAGCCACCTCCCATGCCGTGTGATCCAGGCTGCAGGCTGAGCTGCATGCCTGGTCAGGATTGGGTTAAGAGAAGCTCAAGGAGGCCTCTTGGTGGCCCATCCTCTGTCTGCCCTTGCCTGCTCTGCTGGCTGGTGTGTGCGGGCGGGCTGCGGGGACCTGGGGGTGCTCATGATCTCTGGGTGTGGGTACAGTGTCAGGGCAGCAGGGGGAGGATTCGGGGAGGTGGATTAGCAGCCCCTCTCCTGGCTTTACACAGGGGGCTCCCTGCAGAGCACAATCTCCAGGTCCTTGCGGTAGAGCTTCCCTGCTTCTGCCAAGGACATGACGCTCTTCCTGTAGTTGGTGAGCTGTTGGATGTTCATTTCCTAGGAGACAGAGGAAGGGAATGAGCAGGCTCAGCGGATGGCCCCAGCAACGCATTCAGACAGCTGCCTGAACCTCTCTCTCCTTCCGCCCCGTTGGACCTAGTTTAGAGGGATACAAGGCATGGGCCTTGGAGCAACCAGACCGAGGTTGAAACACTCTCTGTCACTTAGGTCTGCGTTGTCTCCGGCAAAGTAGTCAACCTTTCTGAGGCTCAGCTGCCTCCCCTGATGGAAGTGTGATGAGGACGATGGAATGAATGAAATGGCACTTGGCACATTACCTATCACATAGCATGCACTCCCCAGACGGTAGTTATTGTGATGCTAGTCATTCCTCATTTGACTTTTACTTATTGGAAGCCAATTTGAGTCTCTGCAGGTGATGGAGAGAATGCCAGAGATGCTCCTTGGCCCATACTTCCCCAAAGGCTCATCTATTAGTACGTGGAGTTCGACATCTTATCTCCTCTGGCAACAACTCACCGGCCTACTTCTTGCTCAGTGGCTTCCAGGGCCCTTCAGAGGGTGGGTGCACTAAGGCAGGGGGCCCAGTGGCAGTATGCTCTTGTCTCAGTGTAAAATGGAAGCTAGTGCTCGAGAGAAGACTTAACACGATGCTTTTGTCAAACTCGTATCCTGTACAATAGTTGCGTTGGACGCTGTAGCTAATAGGTCTGAAGCACATACAGCAGCGTCGGCATGAGCACTTGGAAATCACTTAAATCACTGTTGTTTCTGTTTTCCTGTCTCCCTCCTGGTTTCCCTCCCTTCTTTTCCTCCTCCTCCTCTCTTTTATATTGAAAACATTGGTAGATCATGCACTCAGTATCTGAAGGGTTCGTTTTTAAAAACAATTCCCCTTCTAGGCTGGTGGATGCTCATGAGAAGACCAGGGGATCCACAGAACGACTTGTCCATCTCACGATCGTAAACATCCTTCCTCGGGCTCCCTGTCCCCAGCCACCTTTTTCTTTGCTCAAAGGCAACTCCCGCCCCCACCCCCTTGCTTTGACACATCCCCTCCCACTACTTTCTTCTCACTTATTACTTCCCAGCTAACATTTTGCATTTATGAAAATCATTAGAAATCTATCATTTGAGTATATTGCATATTAATGGTATATCTCTGGCAGTAACAAACACTGAGGTGCAATGTGAGAGTAATGTTGGCTGTGACATAAAGTGCCCACTCAGCTAGGTCATGAGACTCACTGACATAGTAATGGTGTCATGATTGCAATTTGGAAGCCATGTAATGATGTAGTCATCTTCCATTTGGTGATCAGGTAATGATGTCGCCATCCTCTATTTTTGCTTAATGCCGATTTTTGGAAAACAACTTGGTCCCGGGAACCCTCCATATTGATAAGTGAGGAGTGAGTGTCCTGGTTTCTGGTTTTATGCCCCCACCCAACCCAAAGACATTGACATTTTATAAACAGCCTTTTTTGGGGGGTGGGGCACATCTTTCCTAAAATTGTGCATTTCATAACACTGAGCTCTCTGCTTTTTGGCACACCTTTCGTCTGTTTTCCCTGTATAACTTCAAGTCAAGAGAGGGACTCCATGTATCGACCTTGAGCTTGTGAAAAGTCCCCACAGTGCAGTCGGGCATCGAGGTGCTTAGCAACACGGAGAGGAGCTGCTTACTTTGTGCGTCTAGGACTTTTGTTTGAACCTAGGGAAGCCTTTAATGAGTTGCAGTTGCCTTAAGAGTACTAAGAAATATTAATGGTTGATCCCATCAGGCGCTCCCTCCAGGAGCCTCAAGCATTAATCTGCGGCAGAAACCACATCACAGTCCGTTCAGACATCATTAAAATGGAACATGCATCGGCCACATGGTTCACCAGAAAGGACCTTTCCATTCCCAACACAGGTATTGTTATTTACAGCCAGGCAGCAGTTTCTTTCTCCTGATTCAACTTCTCAGTTCCCAGGAGTCAGATCTGGAGCTGGGTTACAGGTAGAGGGCTTCCAGATACACAGATTTTGTTAATAGCCTGTTTTCTAACCTTCATAGTTGCTCCTAAATCCCAATTCCTGAACTTTGTTTTCACATATGAAGCTACATGAGTTGGCTGTTGACCTTTGTTTTAAGTGAGAAAGAGCCTACTTAGTTGAACTTCGGGTTACTCCAGAGATTCAATGCAGTGCTTTCAGGCTTTATCAAGGGGAAGACAGGACCACGTGAAGAATGATTATGCCTCTTTAATACAATTACAGCAAAAGATATTCTCCATCATGTTGCTTGACGCTCCTTGGATACGTAAGGTTGTATCAATAACTTTCTCCTAGAATTTGTTTAGGAAAATTTTTGCCAAGTTCAAACACTGTGGCCTATACTTCCTTCTTTCTAAGAAGCTATTTGCTTACTTACAGCTCATTTTCTGCCTCTTTCACAGAGCAGTTTGAAGTAACATAAATAAAGAAATTTAGGATAAAATAAAGGAAGGATGATTCATAAACCCAACTAATCGCCATGGAGTCAACCGGCTCATAGCGACCCTGCAGGACAGGGTAGAACTGCCCCTGTGGGTTCCTGAGACCGTCACTGTTGAAGGGAGCAGAAAGCCTCATCTGCCTCCTAAGAAGCGGCACATGGTTTCAAACCGTTGACCTTGTGGTTAACAACCCAACTTGTAACCCATTACTCCATCAGGGCTCCTATGAAGGATGGTGTCCAGGAGAAAAGAGATCAGAAAGCACTTGGAAAGGGAAACAGGTGACCCAGAGACTACAATGAATTTATTCATGAAATCGAGTATTAAATTTCGCTCTTGTCTGTCGTGCAAGGCAATTGGGCAATGCAAGGAATTATAGAGCTCTGGCTGTCTAATTAAAGAAAGCAGACAAAAACCATTTGCTGAGACATTTTCCAGGAGGGAAGGAAATTGGCTGCAAAGACTTGCCGATTGGTTTCTGTCCCCACCGCCCTCCACAGCCCTCCCACTGAGGCCCCTGGAGCATCTGCGGAGGATGGCAGAGGACAGTCAGGACCCTGTCTTTTCCTCCAGGGGGATAAACATTCTGATGTCTCATTTTAACCCTTCTCTAAGCCCACAGTCTGCAGTTAGCCAATTTAGACTAGCACCCCCCTCCCCACCCACTTCCCGCCCAATCTCTCCTTGGACACACACAAAAAACAAACAAACTCGCTGCCAACGATGCCAATTTATAGCAACCCTATGGGACAGAGTAACTGCCGGTTTCCAAGACTGTAATTGGGATAAAAAGCCTCATCTTTCTCCCAAGAAGCCCCTGGTGGTTTCGAACAGCTGACCTTGTGGTTAGAAGCCCAACACACAGCCTACTTTGCCACCAGAATGCCTCTCCTTGGACAAGAAGCCTTTGTGGGCATTTTTTATGGCAGTTTGGCTGATGATTCCATGAGATGTGCCTTGTCAAAATTGCCATTGCCTTATGGCTGGCTGGTCAAAGAGGGGCACTCTGTAGCTCTGAGCATTCCACTCCCACTGC